TGTGGCCAATGCTGTTGCAGAGACATCCTAGATTCGGAATCTACTCCTAGAGCTCTGGCAACCCCTACGGCGTGCCACCCTTGTCTTCTGTGATAATGTCAGTGCCGTCTACTTCTCATCAAATCCGGTTCAGCACCAGCGCACCAAGCACGTTGAGGTCGACATCCACTTCGTGCGAGATAAAGTCGCACTCGGCCACATAAGAGTTCTTCATGTGCCTTCCTCCTCCCAGTATGCCGACATCTTCACCAAGGGACTGCCTTCTTTGCTCTTCCTCGAGTTCAAGTCTAGTCTGGGTATCAGACCACCTCCACACCCGACGTAGCCGGGAGCATGTTAAATATATTCTATATTTAATGTAAATATATTGTTTCCTATTATTGACTCCTACTTTGTATAGGAATAGGAATCTCATGTCTATATAAATACATGTACTCCCACATATTCTTTTAATGAAATTAATCTTTCTACAGTTTGTTTTTAGTGTTTTGTATCTAATGTATTCATTTATTCTGATATAATTTCTGTTCTTATTTTACTGCAGGTATTCTTCTTGGTTGCTGATGAAACAGACAAGGATAATGTTTATATAGTCTGTTTTAACATGAAAAAGGAGAAGATAACCATCATTGATTCAATTGAAGATAAAACTAAGGTGTATGATACATGTGTTGAATGTTTGGTAAGATCCTTTTTAAAGCGTGGTAATACTGACTTAAGCTTGAACTTCATTGTTTATTCTTCAACTTAATCTAATATAGTCTCACTGACTTGCAGAAAAAGGGAATGTGCGAGTCTTTCAATGAAAAACAACTTGAGCAAAAAGCAAGTAAAATTTCCAAATTTCCTTTTAAAATAACAAAGAAGGCATGTTATGGGAACATGGAAGGTATGGGTGTTGGTGTCATAGCCATGAGGCAATTGGAAACTTTCAAGGGGATTTTGAATACGTGGAAGATGGATTTGAACAAAAATGATGTAAGTCTTATTTCTTTTTTGTTTATAAGGTGAAATAAGATAAAATTATCACACATTTTATCTTATTTTTATTGAAGTTTAAATTTCTTGGTAGGTAAATGGATTAAGAATGCTCTGTGCCGTCCGATATTGCTACGAAATGCTCACCTCTGATCATAATCAACTTACCGTACAAGTGAAACGGAAAGTGGCAGAATATGGCAAGTTTATCAACTAGGATATGTGTCACACTTGGACACATATAGTGACAGTTTGATTTTTTGCCTAATGTCTGATTTGATTAAGTTTTAGCAATTTGATTTTGGGTTATTATGGTGTTGAGAAAACAAGATATGATTTGTGTGGATATAGGACCAGGTTAACATTTTGGGTTATTTGCTTCGGTAGGTGTCAAGCAGTCTTTTTGAGTCTTTGGTTTTAGTTGAAAATAAATCTGTATGCAGATTCTAGTTCCTAGACTCTAAGTTCCAAGATTGAGACTAGTGTTTCCACTTTCTGAACTCCTATTAAAACCAGGGCAAAAAGAACCCTTATCTTATTTCATCAAAGTATATCATTTTATTGTCTTTTTTCTTTGTTGTCGCAACTAAAGTCATATGTTGCTGTTGCAACACTTGCAGTGCTGCACTAATTAAGCTTGCTGAAATGGAATACTGTGGCACAACAAGGTAGCGAGACCTTGTTGTCAAAACAGGATATGATTTGTGTGGATATAGGACCGGGTTAACATTTGTAATATCCTCATTTTGCTTCTGTAGGTGTCAAGAAGTTATGATGCTTGGAACATTTTTCATTTCAGTCCACTCTTTAGCTTGTAACAACTGGATAGCTTTTGTACCCTGGCCTTTCTGATTTTTTTCTTCTAATGTAATATTTGTTAAGTGCTTAGTTGTGTTAGGCTTCCTTCTTCGCTTTGATTTGCTTGCCAGGTAATAAATCCCCTCAAATTTCACCATTCCTGGCAACTAATCCCTGAGAAGCGCGCCTACAAGTTATAGAACAGATCATGTTCAAGTGGTTTTACGTTGTGGTTGATTTGATCTTTATTGATCAATGGTTACAATTAATTCTGTCTTTGGTTTTGCAACTATTACATTGTCTTTATATGCAATTGCTAAAATGTGCAACGATCTTCGTCTTCGTCTTAAACCTGCCAAGTAATTTCCAAGAGAGTGAGGGCTGAGATGAGGACGAGGAGGGGATTTTAACGTTAAAGTTGTCCCGCAGAAGCGGTTTCACGTTTTCGTGCGTCGAAACGGGGATCTCCCCACTGTAAATAAGCTCAAAGGCGAAAAAACCGACTAAAAGGATGATAACTCATGTCTTAAGTAGGTTAAATATTGCTTGATAATGTGGTTGATCATTAAGGAGGTATAAAATTGGTGTTTCCGAAGGGGGCCAACCCGACATAAGCATACATGTCTATTTCTTTTATTATTAAAATTTTTCCTTAAAAATTATATTTTTTGCCACTACATATAGCTCACCAAACATTACTACAAAGCTCACCAAACTTAACTACAAAGCTCACCACATATTTTGAGAAAGCTCACCAAAAATATAGAGAAAGCTCACCACATATATTGAGAAAGCTCACCACATATATTGAGAAAGCTCACCAAACATTACTACAAAGCTCACCAAACATAACTAGAAAGCTCACCAAACTTAACTACAAAGCTCACCTAATAAAGCTCACCAAAAATATAGAGAAAGCTCACCACATATATTGAGAAAGCTCACCAAATATATTAAGAAAGCTCACCAAACATAACTAGAAAGCTCACCAAACATTACTACAAATCTCACCAAATAATTTAAGAAAGCTCATCAAACATAACTAGAAAACTCACCAAACATAACTAGAAAGCTCACCAAACTTAACTACAAAGCTCACCGAATATATTGAGAAAGCTCACCAAATATATAAAGAAAGCTCACCAAATAATTTAAGACAAAGACTTTGTTTTTTACGTGAAAGCTCACCAAATATATTGAGAAAGCTCACCAAACATAAC